AAACAAACCCTTCAGCAATTGAGCTTGCAGAGACTGCTCTCAAAAGGGGCTTCAATTTTTTCATCACCAGTCAGGAAGGTTGGTAGCTTTCAGTGGCTCTGTTGTGGATGACATTAGGTATTGTCACGAAGCGTATGGTGTCAGGTTTTGGGTTGTTGCTGTTATTAGTACTCTTCAGCGATAACGAAAGGTAGTGAGGATGTCGTGTTTTATTGAAGCTTGTAATTTACAAGTTCGCCGTGGGATTGATGTGTCTGTATCATGTAGATGTTCATCTTGGAATTGTTGTGTCCCTAGCCAGGAAACGACCTGACCATCACGGGACAAACATTGGCCCTGGAATATTCCATCTCTGATTCTTTGGAATTAAAATTGTTTTCTTTAGGCCAAACTGAGAATCCAAATGGACATTTCTTTTAAAATGTTGTCTGGTAGTCTTTGTAGGTACATTCAAGATTCAAATCTTCACTCAACACTTAAAAAAAATTACATTTTTGTAAATACATTAGGTTAACGTGAGAAGTATATTTTAAAATTAAAAAAAAAATTAAAATAGATAATGGAAATGACATTTTAATGGTAAATAAAATAATTTTTTTTAGTAAGCATAGGTTAAAATATAGAGTTAGTCTTTTATCTTATTAAATTTAAAGTTTTTAATCTCTCACTCATATTGAAGTTTTTAGTTATTAAACTTAAAGGTTAAACTAATGAAATTTGATAACCCTTCATTAAAGTAAATATAAAATATTTATAGGATTAGTCTTTAAAGATTAAAAATGTAACAATTTAATTTTAAAATTTTAAAAATTAAAATAAAAATTAGTAAACTAAAAAGAATTAATAAATGACTTTTTCACATACACTAAAACAATATTAGATATCTATAATCAAATCAAGCAATAAATTCAATTTGGAAAAATTTTCTTGACTAAAATTAAGGAAAATTTTTTAGCTAAAGTAAGATAGAAAATCCAAGAAATTAGAAGAATATAGTTAAGAAATTTTTTTAAATCTCAATTAGATTTCTTTCTTTAGATTAAACTAATCACTCAATTTAATTGTAAATATCTAAAATTATTCTTGTGTATGTAGTAAAGTCATCCACAAATTTTTTTTAATTTACTAATTTTTTTAATTTAAATTTTTTTTGAAACTAAATTATTTTATTTTTAATTTTTGAGCACTAATCTTATAAATATTTTATTTTTACTTTTACTTTAACAAAGAGTCACTAACTAAAATTTTTAAACTTTTACATTTAGTGGTTAAAAAGTTTCATAAATAAGAAGTTACAAATTTTAAATTTATTAAAATAAAGAGTTAAATACATGCTTTAACCTGTGTATTGGGATCCAAATCTTCTTGTTTTATTTTTGTTGGGGGCAAATACTTGCTTTTAGCCATTTACCTTAATAAATTCGTAAGTTTTTGGCTTTTACCTTATATTATAAGACTTTTAACCCTTTATCTATACGAATAAAAGGAAATAGTCTTTATTTAACGTCAAATTATAACATTTTGTTAGTTCTGTTAGCTAATTGTTAGTTCTGTTAACTGATTGTTAGTTTTGTTAGTTGACTATTAGTTCTGTTAATTGACTATTAACTCTGTTAATTGATTATTAACTCTATTAACTGACTATTAACGCTATTAACTAATTATTAATTCTGTTAATTGGCTGTTAGTATTAATAGAATTAACAAATAAAATTGAATTTAAATTTCATATTTTCTATAACAGACTGCTAATAATCAACTAACAGATGTAACAGTCAACTAATAAAACTAATAGTCAGTTAATAAAATATTAAATAAGGGTTATTTTTTTTAATTTTGATAGGTAGAGAACTAAAAATATTATAATATAAAATGAGTCACTAAAATCTATAAATTTATTAAAATAAAAAATTAAAAAATAGGGTTTTGCCTTTTCGTTGGTAGGAAAACGATAAATGAATGGTTGAGAAAACTTGCTGTGTCATTTGTCAAGCTGGAGGGCTAGAGAATGGGGGAGTGCCGTAGAAGGCACTGAGCTGTATTTCGAGATCGATGCCACTGAATTTATTCTCCGAGACACCACCGGCACAAAATTAATTGTCATATTGCCATTCAAATAAAGATTATATCTTGACCTTCAAGTTGGGCCTTTACACCAAAATATATGGCCTCTAAGTGTCTGTTAAAACTTCTCTTTGAATTCAAATCCGCAGCTTGATGCAGTTAAAAATTGAAAAAGAAACGATTCTGTTCCACTTAGAAGTGAAAATATTTTGCATTCTAAACAATTGTACCAGTATTTATAAAAGGGGAAAAAAAATTAAAAATTCTTGTATAGCACTTTCCCAAATCCTAATGGGAAATTTAAAAATACAGTCGGTAGCAGTAACAGTGTTGTTCAGAGGAACAAGCCAACACTGATCTTGCCGCACCACTGCCGTATAAACTGCTGCTAGTAAGAGAACGGAGATGTTCTTGAAGAAGCCATCTCAACATGCTCATGAAATACATGCCGGTGTAAAATGTCCTACTCTTATCATTAGGGATATCCAAGATGGATGTAGGGGGAAAAGAATGAAGGGTAGCATTATTATTGATCTGCTGTTTTGCGGGCATATGCCAGCACCATCACGAACTCCTTTGCTGAGGAACCAACAGAGGCTGGAACTCGCTGTGATGTAGACGTGGTTTGTAGCCATGAATCAACTAAATTATATAATTGTACTGTGGGGACTACAGGTCGTCCCATACATTTGATCTCAACCTGCAAAAATTTGTAGCAATGGAATAGTCAACAAAATGCAAAACTGAAATCACCCAACTTAATTTATCATCAATGATATGCTAAAAGGATAAGCATTATGGATAAGGTTGAACTATCAGGGAATTTTTCTGCTTTTCTAAAAGATTAATCTACCAGCTCTTTTTCCCACTTCTAGAGAGAATTCAAAGATACAAACGCAGTATAGCAGAACTGTTAAAACAGACGATGGTAAATGATGCCTCATAGTCATCCCACCTCCCCTGCCTCTCTTAAGACCCTCTCGTCCATCTCTTCCAAGGAAACAAATTGAAGAGAGACAACACATTTCTAAGAAATTTTCTAACATGAGGGCAGAGAATCTTTAAATTATCACAGCCCTTATACAACAGTTTTATGGCATGGAATTTAAAAAAGCTTTTAAAACTCAAATTGAATTCAGAAAACAAGTATGCACAGAGATAAATCTGTGACATATACAAAACAAGGCTGATGCCCGATGGGAATTATAAATATTCAGAAATATGCTGCAGATGATGGTGAAATATTTCAGGCCAATAAGAGAATTTCCCTTTCTTGATTGAAGATAATTATCAGAGAGATATCAAGAAGGGATAACTGACCTCAGCCTCGTTAGTGAGATCTAGTTTCTTCATAAGGTACTTTTGGATGAATGAAACAGGTATATTTCCATCCCTGTCACAGAGAAAAAAGTATGATAATGAATCTCCAGGAATCAGAGTATCTCTTCCACAATATTAATGAAAAAACTTATTCTCACATCCAGAGATAAGTAAAAGCTGCAGGACTGATTAGAAGAAATACTACAATGAAAATTGTCTAGAGATAAAAGTTACATAGCTGCCCAGTTCTTAAAAGAAAATATTACAACATACTGACATAACTACAAATTTATTTGAATTCTCTGTACAGACATTCACCATATCACATGCCAGACCCGAAATGTAAACTTCCAATGCAGTCACAGAACATTCTCAACCAAGAAAAAAAAATGGGAAAATGCACTGAGATAAGAGAGGACAGCAGGAGCAGAGAGTGAAAAATAGAGATATAATAGACCAAATTACCAGGAAGAAAATATATCAAACTAGCGTGCTTTATCATGGAGAAGATATTGGGCAATTTGGATTTTTTGTTGATTTCAATTGGACGAGATTTTGAGTTATCCATACTAAGACTGAAAAAAAACACCCAGTCAAAAAGCTAATATCCATGCAGTATCCTGCATTACATCTGTGAGTTTTCAAAACAATGCATAGCTGTAAAGGAATTGACCGCACAAACATGTATTTGAATTCTGGTTCTTGGAATGATAGTTCAAGGAATGTTATCAATGGTTGGCTGATAAAATGATACCAGTATCATGACACCCATGTTTATTATTTTCTCAGAGGATCTTGGTTAGACTAGAAGAATGAGTTAATGCCCATGGAATAAAGAAGTGATTAAAGTGATCAAGAAAGCAACCAGATTGAAATCTAAGAATAAAGCCAAATTTCTCTAAATTGGAAAACCATATACAGAGGTCTTTCCTCCATATATGCTAAGCCAAATGCTAGAACATGCCTCTATAGAAAACATAACCAATGGAACTTCAGAACCAAGGTACTACTAGACTATATGGTCTCAGTTCTATAAACGGATTCTCTTTAGCTAAAGGAATCACGCACCTACCAAAATATTTTAATATTAATGCTACAAGTCGAAAAAAATGAATAGAAGCTATAGATATATCAATAATTTCATCTACTGATGGTGTGCTATTAATAACAAGAAGAAATGTTATCTACACCAATGCGTTAAAGTTGAGAGAAACTCACTTTATTCTCAAGTAATTAGCAGCAATTTGAGGTAGTGGCGCATCTCCTTCCCTGAAAGTAATGATATTGAATAAGTATATGAGCAGATCAAAGGTATCATGAAGTATTTCCATTCAATTTTCAATTCTCAGATTGATTCTCACTGGTCTTCAGAAGCTACAAGGGAGAACCAAACTGGACCAATTCTTCTTTCACGCTTGGCCCTAGTAGCATCCAGCACAGCTTGTGGTGAAATGCCAGAGGTCCCAAAGGCAGTTGCTCTCTTTCGGCGGATCCTCCGTAACTTTTTAGGAGTTACAGTTTCTGAAGGGGTAGGATCAGCATTATTCTTTTCATCCTCAACTTTCAATTTGCTTTTCTCTTCCTTGAGTTTTGTTTTACCCAGTTGAGCATCATTATTAGGGATAGATGCAGGTTCTAGCTTAGAATCAGAGCCTTGTGAATTAGACTTGAAGGACTTAGTCCTATTTGCAACTTCCACCAAACAATTTAAAGGTTTCCAGAGATCCAACTTTCCATCCCATGATTCACCACCAGTCTCTGATTCTTTATTTTTTGTCAGCTGGCTAGGCTCAGCAGATGAAGAGCTCTACAAAGTTATTTTGTAAAAATGAAAGAAATTAGTAAACTTAATCAAACTAAAGACTGAGACTTTTCAGCTTACAAGAAATGAAGTCCTGAGAATGAAGAAAGCACATTGCATGTCTTACCTGTCTCTTATTCTGAGTGAACTTATTCAGAGTTTCAGGTGAGCTTGCACTCTCTTGATGATCATCAGTAGAATCTTCCTCCTTTTTAACAGTTTTCTCCATAGAAAAACTAGAACCTCGCAAAACAGCAGCCTTTCTCGTAACTGCTTTTGTTCTTCTTCCAGTCATAGCCTGTGTTGATACTTTGGGGGCATTAACAACCAACTGTGAGAGGGATCTCTCTTTTCTTCTTGCTGGTAATGTAACAGGGGGCACAACTTCAGGTGCCTTCACCTTTCTTCTTTTAAGAGGGAAGATTTTGGCCCTTACATCTTGCAAATTGTGGTCAGGCCTGATTATCAAATAGAAGGATACAACTCAGCACATGCTAACAAAATTAAATGGATCCAAATTAATTGTTTATCTTTATAAAACATTTATATTGATTCTCATCAAGAAAATTACAGAAAGAGTCAATCCATTAGTGGCTGCATACTTGTACCATTTCACATACACACGCAAACCTACACACCAAGGACAAAGAAGAAATTGGGCCAAAAAAAAAGGACAGGAAAGAAAGGCTGTACACTAAAGAATTTTCAATCACAAGGGTGAAGAAAGCAACAAAAATGCATATGAAGGGGCACCACTGAACTGAACTAGCTCAGAGTAAACAAAATAAACCCTTCAGCTGATTCACACAGTCAAAGGCCATATTCTCATATGAAATTCAGAAATCAAATACCTTTACCTTCCTTCTACCAAGTGAAATCAATGCTAAAATTACAAGAAAACATGTCATACCAACAGATAAGTAGCACTTACACTGAAAATCTCCCCACACTCCTAGTTTCTCCCCTGATTTTGTCACTCACAGTTAAAAAGAAGTATCATCTTCCTGACAGGTAATGGTAGAAAGAGGCAAGGTATACTGAAACAACAATGAATTTTTGCCAAAATTGCATGGAAAACCGTACTTTTAGCAGTTGGTAAAATCTCAGTTAATCTCTTTAGCGATATATGGATGATTTTGTCTGTGCATTTGTAACTTCATCAAAAATATTGCCACTCAAACTCCAATAAGAAACATTGAATGTCAAGCTCCAGTTATTCAGAAAGAGAGAGAGAGAGAGAGAGAGAGAGAGAGAGAGAGAGAGAGAGAAATTATGGCAGAGATGGTGAAAAGATCAGACCTCAGTTTTTCCAGTGGAACACAACCCAGATCGATATTGCATATTGGACAGCATTCCAGCTCCTCCTCTTGTATTTTATTGTATATGCATTTCCTGCAAACTACACAAATTTACAAATAAAAATATATCAGAAGCTCATATTTTTTGAAACTTGGAGCACCATTATAAGATTGTAGTGCAAAGAAAAATAATTTGAAAATGTTAAAATAAAAATACCTTTCTCTAACAAATAGAAGAGACTGGTTAGTCGTTTGAAAGCTAGAAAATAGATTATAGTTTGCAGCTAGTTAATCTACTGGAAAGATTTAGCTTACATATCAACTACTGGTTGGTTAATTAAGATCACACTAGTAGCCCATAAAACTAAGATTACAAAAACAAAGAAGGATACAATCCACAAAGACGCCAGAGGATGGTGCCTCAGTCTGAAGTCGGAACCCAAAAATGAAAATTTCAAGATAGACACTTCAAGCTAAATGTGGATAAATTTTCTGAGTGCAATAAATTTTAAATTCGAGATTAATAATACAAATAATTAGAACTAAGGAATATCTTGATAAGTCCAATGGCCAAATAAGTATATACCAATGAAGCAAGATACTCATTCACACTTCTAACTCATTATTCCATACGCACCAATTAACCCCATGGATCCTGTTACTTTACCTAAGGCTTAGAGATTAAGAAGGAACAAACTAATATCATGGAAAAATTAAGTATACCCAAATTCTTACTGAGTTTTATTTTAATATAGAAACACTGAGACTGAGCAAACCCAGATAAGAAATTGCAAAGAAACAGCAATCCAGTTCGCAGGGGAAGCAGGATACAGATAAAAACAATAAAGACACTAACAATTTCAAGAATTGACACAAAACAAGCTGAAAGAGAAGAAATTGAAACCACGAGAAAGATATAAATCCCGAGACTCACACGTATGGAGACATTCAGATATGGTGGTGGCATCCCTCAAGAGCTTATTGCAAAGAGGACAAGTCATGAATGCCAAAATCGTCTCCCTCCTCACTTTCACCACCTGATTCGCCATCTTCCTTACTCACTCACTCAATCCCTACTACGCCCTCCCCAAACCACACTGCATGTCAACCACACACACCCCCACAAAAGCCCCGCCAAAACAGGAACGAATTTACGTACATATCTCCATATTAACCTGCATTATTAAACCCCAGAGGAACCCCAGAAGCAAATGAGAACAAAAACAAACAGAAGTTGCAAGTGCGGTACGGAGGAATCAGGGGGTGTGGGGAAACAGAGATGAGAAGAGGGACCTGTGCGATCCGGGAAGAAGAAGAAGAAGAACAGAGGTTGGGGATTAAAGGGGAGAAGAGGAAAGGGAGATGGAGTAATGGAGATTTGGACGTGGATTCCAGAGGAAGAAGAAGGTTGAAGGAAGGGATGATCTGAATCTAGAAAGAAGGTGTCGTCGAAAAGAGAGAGTATGAACCAACAATTTTCTTTGTTTTTATGTATTTATTTTTTTTTTTTTTTTTTTTTTTGGCTAGCATTCTTGATTAATTTCTTGTTATGGTTCTTCTTGCAATTCTTGTCACTTTTTAAAATAACCTTTTAAGCCTTGTGTCATTTTCCTATAAAGTCTTTTTGTTTTTGGGTTCCAATAGACTACATTTGATATACTTGAAGGGGTTCATTAGTCACATAGCACATTTTTACGACACATAAGTTACAGGCTTTTTGTTTTGCCTTGCAGATGGTACATATGACACAGTGGTATTATGTCTGTCATTTGGTGCTTACTCCATCTTTATATCTTTCAAACTTTACTCTTTTGGCATATGGATTTATGTTTTGAGATGATATTGCAGGCAATGCGTGATCAAATTACCGACTATGATGACACTATATTACTTTCAAATAGAAGCTTATGTTTTGTCTGCTCGGAGGAAGGACATTCTGCATTACTAGACGCTCAAGCTTCTGTTGAGCTATGGCCTATTTGGCCAATGGCACACTTTAGGATTAGCAAGGCATTGATGTTATAAGAAGTAAGCTATTGTTCGACAGTCTACTTTATTCAAAGTAGAGGCTCATAATGGCTACAAGGAGAGTTTTATTACACCATTGCAAGGATTTGAAAAGGCTGCTCAACCCTTTAAAGAGGGTCTGTAGTTTGATAAAGTTGACAAAGAACTTTGACTTGCATATCAATAGTAGTTTGTTTTCAAACTTTCTTCTTCCTTTTTTTTTTAAATTTTATTTTATGTTATTCGTTTAACAATAGATGGAGAAGGTGGTAAAGCAATTTTTAGTTGGATATGAACTCTTTTTTATTTTTCTTTAGATTCTTAAACTACTCTCTATCCCATAACTCAATAATTGGATAGAAAAGGTCTTTCTTGAATTGAAACAAGTTTGTCCTGCCATTGAGCCTAATGTTTGTTGACTTGGTCTTGATATATGCCAAGATTTGATAATATCATAATTGTTCCTTTTTTTTTTTTTTTTAACATTAAACATCCAGATATGTCTTTAACCCTTAGTCTTTGGGAGCACAATTGAGCAATGGTATAACTTTTGGCACATTGTAACTTTGAACTCTCCAAGCATTTTTTTTTCCTACTAATTTTATGCACTTTGCTATTTCAATTTTTTGCTTACCATCAAATAGAGAAGAAAAAAGTTTCACCATATTTTCCTTTTTTCTAATGTTTACCTTGTCTTCTTACAACAGCGAAGCTTTTGAGATAATAAAAAAGAAACAGTGCTCCTGAGTTATCTACTATTTCACAATTAGAAGAGATGTCACACTTAGTTGAATGGAAATGAAGACTAGTGAGATGGTCTATTTCAAAATTCTTGTGCCTACAAAGGATATATACTTATACTTTATATGCAAACCACATTTGGAAAAGGAACCTGAAACTTTGCTTAATTCTATTTCAGAGTTTGTAAAGTTTGTAGGTTATAGTTAAATGTCTGATTTAGTGTTGCTTGAGGTCATTATTAGTTGAAAATTTAAATAAATTGCCTTGAAAGAGCTTCTAGATTAGTTCCTTTGTGCATTTTGTGAATTTTACACCATTTTTTTTCATTGTTACTTCATACCAATAAAATTGTTGTACAATAAAATAAAAAAATAAAAAGATAAAATAGATCCCAAATGATTTAAGTACATGTTATATAATGGGACATTCTATAATGAATTAAATTTTTATTGGGGCATGCATGAATTATGGGCAAACCTCATGAATAGTCACCCAACTTTACCATAACTTTCAATTTAGTCACTCTCTTTTGAAATTTCTAACCCTAATAATTTATCTTTAATTTAGTTTCCATCCATTCATCACTTTTGTTAACTCATCAATTTTGTCAATTTTTATGCTAACATGGCACTAGAGTGGCCAACTTTGCCATGTAATCATCTTAGATGGAGCCTTCGTGGAAAACAATACTTTTTTCTAAATGCACATTTTTAGTGCATGAATTTTTAAGTTGAGGGATGAAAAATGTACATATATTATAGGCTGAGATACTAAAGATGTATATATATAGACATATTTAATAAATTAACTAATGAAAAGATTAAAAAAGTGCATTTTTCATAATTGAGGGACAAAAAAAGTATATAAAAAAGTTGAGGGACCAAATTTGACATTTAACCAATAATAATAAATGGATAAATTTTATGAGACCAATATCATAATATAAGTCAAATCATTAAAAATATTAAAAAGTAGATCATGTATTATTTAATAATTAGCTCTTTGTACTTGATTGAACTTATAATATTATATGTATTAACTTATCTGATGACATAATTTATACCACTTCATTGATCCCAATTTTTTGTCCTTTATGTCACTACTCTTTTCACATTTATTTATAATTAAACAAAAAAATTCTAATGTATTTTTATTTATTTTGACATAAAAATAAAAATAAAATATTAATATTTATAATATTTTATTAAAATAAAAAATAAAACAACTAAATCAAACCAGTTCTATTTTAAAAATGAGTCTACTAAATTAGACTTGAGGGGGTAATAAGAGCATTCAAATTAAGTAGCATATTCAACTAAATAATAATATAAAATGAGAAGCAAATTAAATTAGAATTTTCTATTTTGAAATTTAGATAGTATCATCCTATAATACAAGAATAAGTGAACGGAGGAGAACTCTTAAACTCTAGGGACTTATCTAATAGTTTAGATTGTGTAGTTTAATATAGTTTAAATTATACAATACATTTTTAATTAAATTAATTATAAAAAAGAGAGAAATTATGCAAAATTCCTTCCCAAATACAAACAAAAAGAATAACCAATTTATGCGTAAAAATTTAGGACAATCTTAAATTAAATATATGCCTCCCATCTCTAATATATTCAAATTAAAACTCAGGAAATATGAATTCTATAATAAAAAATGGTAA